AAATCCCCGGGAATGGCCCCAAATCCCCCGGGAATGGGGTTGGGATCAGCCCCGGGAGCCTCTACCGGCGCCTGGCCACCGTCCACACCTCCAGGAGTACGAAATTCCCGGGAATTCCATGGAATTCCCCACCCTCGGGAACCCAAAATCCCCGGGAATGGCCCCAAATCCCCCGGGAATGAACCCAAATTCCCTGGGAATGGGGTTGGGATCAGCCCCGGGAGCCTCTACCGGCGCCTGGCCACCGTCCACACCTCCAGGAGTACGAAATTCCCAGGAATTCCCTGGAATTCCATGGAAATCCCCACCCTTGGGAACCCAAAATCCCCGGGAATGGCCCCAAAATCCCCGGGAATGGCCCCAAATCCCCCAGGAATGGCCCCAAATTCCCAGGAATGGCCCCAAATCCCCGGGAATGGCCCCAAATCCCCAGGAATGGCCCCAAATTCCCAGGAATGGCCCCAAATTCCTGGGAATGGCCCCAAATTCCCCGGGAATGGGGTTGGGATCGGCCCCGGGAGCCCCGAGCAATCCCTGGCTCTTGTCCGTGTATCCCAGATGATGGAATTCCCAAAAATCCCTGGGAATTCCCGGAAATCCCTGGGAATTCCCGAAAATCCCTGGGAATTCCCAAAAATCCCGACTTTTTTCCCGGGATTTTTTGTTTTCCCAGTGATCAACAAATACAAACGGAGGCGATTCCAGAAAACCAAAAATCTCCTGACGGGAGAGACGGAGGCGGATCCCGAAATGATCAAGGTGGGAATTCACGGATTTCCTGGGAATTCTTTGGGAATTTTTTGGGAATTTTTGGGGATTTTTTTGGGGATTTTTTGGGGATTTTTTGGGATTTTTTTGGGAATTGTTTTTAATTTTTTTTTAATTTTGGGGGGGATTTTTTTTATTATTATTCTAAGAATTTTTAGGGATTTTGGGGGATTTTTTTAAAGGAATTTTTGTTAATTTTCAGGGATTTGGGGGGGATTTTTTTGATGATTATTTTGGGAATTTTTTGGTGGAATTTTTTCTAATTTGGGGGGAATTATTTTTAATTTTTTGGGATTTTTTGGTGGAATTTTTTTTTAATTTTTGGTGGAATTTTTTTTTTCTAATTTTGGGGGGGAATTATTTTTAATTTTTGGGGGATTTTTTGGGGGAATTTTTTCTAATTTGGGGGGAATTATTTTTAATTTTCTGGGATTTTTTGGTGGAATTCTTTTTAATTTTGGGGGCAATTATTTTTAATTTTGGGGGGATTTTTTGGTGGAATTTTTTTTCATTTTGGGGGATTTTTTGGTGGAATTTTTTTCATTTTGGGGGATTTTTTGGTGGAATTTTTTTTAATTTTGGGGGATTTTTTGGTGGAATTATTTTTAATTTTGGGGGATTTTTTGGTGGAATTTTTTTTAATTTTAGGGGATTTTTTGGTGGAATTCTTTTTAATTTTGGGGGCAATTATTTTTAATTTTGGGGAATTTTTGGTGGAATTTTTTTTCATTTTGGGGGATTTTTTGGTGGAATTATTTTTAATTTTGGGGGGATTTTTTGGTGGAATTTTTTTTAATTTGGGGGGGATTTTTTGGTGGGAATTTTTTTTAATTTCAGGAGGATTTTTTTGGGTGAATTTTATTCAATTTTGGGTTTTTTCTTTCTCAGAGAGCCGAGGATTTCGGGCCGGTCGAGGTCATTTCCCACTGGCACCCGAACCTGACCATCAACATGGTGGATGACCACATGCCCTGGGTGAG